GATATTTCTCTTCTTATTAATTTTGAAAATAAATCTCAAATTCAAATCCGATTTGATCTCATCGATTAACAAAATAACAACCAAAATAGTGCACATACCACTCTAAATATAAGCATGGGCTCTCTTATTAGTAAATGAAAGTCCTATAAGGCCACTGGGATTCAAGTTTTACCTAATGGAGGTTCCACTTTGTTAGTATAAAATACATTTTCCTACTTGTTTTCTTGTTTTTTGTTGAAATAATTGTAGGATTTTAGGTATGATTTTGGAATGTAAAATAATCCAAAAGGCGTGTCGAGTTCCAAATTGCAAAGTGAACATCAAAAGCCGACATTCGAATCCGAACGCCTACGTCCCCACGAAACTGCAGTAGATTTCATGGCCCCAATATCCCCCATATTTTCTGTGACTTGGTTCTGCAACTTGCCTTTTTACGTCTTTGCATGTAATAAGTAATGTGTTTTCTTCTCCAACTGCCTGCCAAATATCTGATTGAAAATTACAAAGAATTCTAATTTCATGGGGAGTGCAAATTATAATTAAAAACAACTCTCTTTTGATTTTGGGTTAATTTATATATATACTAGTATTTGCCTACACACTTTATGTATGAACACATTTTTTTTATAAAATGAGAAGGAGAGAGGGAGAGAGAGGGGGAGAACATTTTTTTGTTTTTTTTTTGGGGGGGGGGGGGGGGGAAGGGGGGAGTGAGAGGTTTTTGTTTTTGGTTTTTGGTTTTTATTTTTTTTATTTTAAATATTAGAGATATTTTAACATCATCTCTAGGTGAGGCTTCAATAAAAAACAGTAAAATTTGGACATGTGAAATTACATTATTGCCCATCATTTTTTTTGTGCAATAGAAGACTAAGTTGTCTTTTCACCCTCTTTTGGTTGACAAAGAGGATTTCATTAATTAATAGAGAATCAAATCTATGATCTCTTCCTTACAAGTAAAAAAGAATACCCTTAGATAGTAGTACTAACTACTAAGTGACGACTGGATATTACTTAAGTATTTATTAACGTGTTTATTAGTGACACATAATTTAGTTTAAAAATGTGATCTCTCTAAAAACAAACAGTGTCACAAATTTGGTTCAAAAATGCTACTTTTACCACATAGTTGCATCATCTCTCTAATAGAGATCGGACCGACATGGGTTGGTGAATCCTATTTTTATTAGAGAGATGATAGAAATCATAATACAAATAGGTAATATGTGTAGCATTATTCATTTGACTTGCAAATTTGCTTATTTAGAATTAAACAATGTCACAAAAAAAAATCATGAAAAAAAAAAAAAAAAACCAAAATCATGAAATACTATCAGGCATGAAAAAAAGCTGCAAATACTGTGCAGTCAAAACTCAAATAGGTCGTCGGCGGACTCCAACCGTGAAATAAAATACTCGACCATCTCTCCTCTAAAACCCTACTAGTAGACAAGGTAAAGACGAGAATACAATAACACTGTCATGTTCGCGTATCTCAGCCGTCAATTACCTCCCCCAGTCACATCCAACGTTGATTCTCCGGCCGCTAACTCCGGAAAGTTTGAAACGTGTCTCTTTGTCATGTGAGGGGTCGTGCGCTCTGACAAGTTGCCGTAGGGCCCCCCACGTGCTGTGCGAGTCTCAACCTAACGAGAAGCGAAGCCACTGCACGTGCACCGTCAAGGTGGTCCAGTGAGAATGTGACACGTGGTGACGATGACGCTAGGCCTCACATGCTCCTAACTACCGTTGTTGAATACGACATCGTAGAAGTAGAGGTTGTGGGATACGACAATTAAGACGAATAGAAGACAGGAGGGGAGCGTGATTCAAGGGACTATGCACCATTTTTTTTTTATTTTTTTTTAACAATTGATATTATTTACACTAAAAGAAAAGTTGGACTAAGCTTCACAATAAGTTAGCAATATGCGGTTCAAATTTGTTTTTGAAGAGAATCGAATTTAAGACTTCTTATTTACAAATAAAAAGGAATACTATTAGACTGTAGTACTAAATGATATATTTTGTCTTGTATAACAAAAAATAAGTGTAATTACTAAAGGTTGGTTGAATTGATAAAAATTGTTCTTTTTATTAGACGTAAAACTCAAGTTCGAGTTTCGCTAAAGAAGATTGTGATATGCCCTTATTCTAGATGCGGTACCCTCCCCTTCTTAAACTTTTATTTAAAAAAAAAATAAACAAAACATGATGTGAAAAAATGTATAACATGAGTTTTTTTTTTTTTATTTACTAATTAAAAATTTTTAATTTAGGAGTAGAGGACAAAAGAGGGCATTAGATTTTCCCATGAGGCGCACATGCAAAGGATATAGTTTTGATTAAATCTCTATCAATTGCTCTTCTCCCAAGAATCATACAAGGAGTTAACTAATTCGAGTTAGTCTTATGCACCTGTTTTGTGTATAACTTTTTTTATGACTTGTCTAACTTTTTGACACAAGAATAACCACTTAATTTTACTTAACCGCGTTAACTCTTTAATTTGATTATGCGCCTTTTTAAATAATAATAATAATAATAATACCACGCACTGCTCTTCGTTTTCTTTCCTTTTCATATGAAATTCGACCAAGAAAACTTCTTATGATCGTGAATTATGGGGTATTCTACTCGTAAACTATGAACAATCAATTTTTTTTTTTTTTTGGTTGATTTTCGTGGACGATCTGTTTTTGTTTCAATTGGGTTGAATTCGATAGGTTCGATCTGGTGGAAGTTTATTAGATCGGGGGTCTTAGGTCGGAGTGGGAAAGAGGTAGTGGTCCGTGAGGGAGGAGGTGGTGGGAAGGGTGAGTACCGGTGTGTTGGGTTTTTATTTTTTTTATTTTGTTATTTTTTTCTGTTATTTAGAGTTTTTATTTTGAAGAATCTTTTTATTTGGAGTTAACTCTGTTAGGTTTTTGTTCAGTTAGCGGACAAGTGTCAAGATTTCAAGTGAGCCACAAAAAGGCCACATATACCAATGGGTGAAAAAGATTTGAATTTAACTAATTCACAAGTAATATTTGGGTTGACATCGTTGGATAAAAAGTGTGCACATGTTGTTTATTATAGGTTGGTTAAGGTCATGTAACTGTTTTTTTGTTCTTGAGTTCAAATTTTCTTTTCGAAGATAAAATAGTTTCGTCCTTTGCAAGCAAAAAGAACTATAGTATTTTTAGAATTGTATTGATTCATTTTTAACTAGGGGTGCTATCCAAACATCCCTATTTTAATTTTTAGTCTTTGGATTAAATGATGTGAAGGGTTTAGGGTTTAGAGTTACCTTTGTTAGGTTCTTGTTTTAGATGTGCATTTATGTCAATGCTAGTCGTCGTTTTCTTTTACAATAGAAGAAAGCTGATTGCTTGAACTAGTTTGATCCTACCTCATTTATCATTGACACTATTTGAGCCAATTTCAATGACTTAGGGCTAGTTTGGGTTTGCTATACCTTTTTAGAAAATTGTTTATGATGTGCTTTAACAATAATCAACTATAAAATAAAACAGTAGAATTTGATCACTATATTTTAAAGTGTTGCGAGTATGAAAAGTAGTGTAATAGCACTTGGTAAATTTTAATATAACTAATATAATTGTAAAAAGTGATAAAAACTGGATATGGTAGTGCGGGTGGTGGCGACACAGCGATGGCAACAGTAGTGGTGGTGATGGCAGCATCAACGGTGGGGGTATGATGGTGGTGTTAGTAGTAGGGTGTAATGGTTGCAGTGTAAAAATATCAGTGGTGGCAGTAGCAATTGTAGTGGTGGTGGCAGCAACAATGGTAACGATGGTGGTAGTGAGGTTGGCGGTGGTGAAAAGATGGTGGTCGTGACGACGATGTTGCCGGTGGTGGTGGGGGCAACAGTGGTGATGGCAACACAAATGGTGTGGATATGGTTGTGGTTGGGGTGCATAGGTAGCAATGGTGGTAAGGTGGCGACAACCGCCGGTAATCGTGATTGTGGTTGCGGTGACAATGGTGGCGTTTATGGTTGTAGTGGAAATGGTGGCGGCGGTGACGACAATGATGGTGGTCGCAATACTAGTGGTAGAGGTTGTTGTTGTGGTTATGGTAGCAATGGTTGTGGCAGCAACAGTGACAATTGTGGTAGCGGCAATGGTGATGTAAGGTCAGTGGTTGTAATGGTAGGTGGTGGCCGTCACTTTGTGTTTCCAAGGTGTGAAATGTATTTAGAATGATAAATAACATAAACAACATATTTAGTTTTACCAAATACTTTTTATTGCTTAATTTTAAAATGAACTAGTTTTTTTTTTTTTTTTCTTTTTTTTTTTTGGTGAAAAAAAAAGGTAATACCAAAAGGACTTGTAATAATGATAAACCTAGAATTTGATATCGTTTGTACAGAGAAAAAAAAATGTACCTACAATTTGATTTGAAAGTAAAAGAAAAATAGTATTCTTAATATATAAATATGAAGGAAAATAAAAGACACGCAAACAATTTCCATCTAGCAGACCAACAAGGCTACAACACAAACTGCACTGTGAAGAAGAAATTTGGCACCTTATTGCAAGTATTTCTTTTGTAGAGTCCACATATTTATTTCTTCACCTTATTGGGCTGCCTATTGAGATAACATAAGGGAATTGCTAAGCCCAACCCAACAAAGTCTGAGGTTGAACAAGAGGTCATGGATTAACCCAGCAGTCCCCTTCAAGTCCAAGATTAGATGAGCGGTTCATAACAAGCTTAATTACTTAAACGATAAAACAAAAACATAACACAGTTGCGTTCAAGGACTAGGAGATACCAAAATCCACTAATAGTTAGGAAGGCATATAATCCATGAGTAAATCTTCGATAGGGGTGTCCCATGATCGGGATTGTGAGAGTGAGGCCAGAGACGAGCCAAAGCAATATATAAAACTACTTTAGTTTTAGGAAAAGAAGATTCGAACTTGGGTGCAAGAGAGGAGACATACCCTAGCCAGCAGGCTTTAAACCACATCTGCCCTAGAAAGTAGAACGGGAGCAAAAGTTCACTGAAGACAACCAAAAAGCCTTGGTGTACAAGTCAGCTTATAGTCTCATGTAAATAAATGGGATATCTTTTTTTCTGTTTTTACATCTGCTTGGGAAATGGAAAATCAGATAATTATCTGTGAATGATAAACAGACAGATAAACAAAATAGAAACATGCATCTATAATCTCTTTCTCAACTTAACTGACTAATCTTTCCACGCTTCCTTGTTCAATCGTCGTGAGGCGAGGCCTTTGCTAGAGAGACTAGGAGTAATTGGCTTTGAGGGTGTGTGGGGTGCCTCCTCATCATCCCAATTATCGTCCCAGTTATTATCCCATCCATCGTTAACCTGCAACACCGGTTTTTCCTCGTTGGAAATTGGCAGGTCCTCATCTAGCTTCTGATATTTCAACCCATTGCCCGAGAACCGCCTATTCCTAAAGCTGATGCACATCCAAGCCGATGCCAATATCACTACTGAAGCAAAGAACACAACTGCAATCGTAGGTTTTTGTTTTAGGAAGTTTGCGTGGGCAAAGTTTGAAGAATTCTCAGGCTCCTTCCTGGAACTGTGTGTGACCAGGTCCTTCAAATCAAGGTTGCATTGACCATTTCCTGCGTTTAGCACAATTGAACCACCAGCTCCTCCCTTTCCAATTGAAACCAAAACCTGCAGAACCCAAATTATATCAGATCAAAATCCACTTTTCACATGGTGACAAGCATTACGCTTTGACATCTCTAGAAAACACGCCTATATCTTCTCAACGCAAAAACGAAAATGAGTTACATATTGCCACTGGTATGTGTCCAGGCCAACTTGGCAAGGCCATTAGTCGAGCCCATGGCCACCAAACCACTATGAGTAAGAGCATTTGATCTAGCTTCCTGTAAACTCTTGCTATCAATGTAAGAGATAGGCTTTAGAATCAACCAATCTATTGTGTACTGGGATTCTTATTAGACTATTGCCTAATTGGTGCATCTGCAATACTAATATTGCTTCGGTTTTTGTTTACTGCAAGGTACTTTTTGGATAGACTTACTACCCACGTGGGATATAGGTGTAAAGATTCAGCCAATTCATGGTAGCAGTATGCATCTGGAAAGTTTAAGAACTTATGACACACTATGATCAAAGGAACCAAGTGTCCTGGCGGAAAACTCTCATTCGCCAATTGGAATACAAGGACATGCTGAATATTCTATGAAGTCCTTCAAGCAAGGAAGCATTACCAACCGGGCGATGAAATATAACATTAGGTTGCATTTTTGTTAAAGGAAACAAGAAATTGATTCTCTTATAGCCCTAGGGATCCCCTTTGAACTATTTTGCAAAAGCAATCGCACAATTTTTTACAAAAGTACTAGGACGTTATGAAGCATTTGCATCACAATATAAATTTATTAGCTTCAATTAAGAAATCATCAAACAAAAATATCTTTTTTGATTGAACAACTCTATAGCGTCTTTACACTTACCTTTCCATTTTCTTTCTCTGCAAGTTGAATTTTTGTTTTGTCCAGTTTCACAAAACCAGGAGCTACAATGGTAACCAAGAGAGGGCCTTTGGCCTTGTTCTTAATTAAAAGTGAAAGATGGGGAGAATCTGAAAAATGATAACCCACAATATGTCAAGTATGATCAATGCAAAACATAACAAACTTAACTTTAAAAAGTAAAATTAAAAAAAAAACCATATTTTAGTATGCTAAATGAAAAATGATCTGAAAAAATATAAAGAACAAACTCTACTATCTAAAGATTTATTGCATACCGAATTCTTAACCAGACTAATAATTCAGTTTGAATGAGAACAATCCATTAGTCCAAGAAATAAGGAAAACACTCAGGATGGATAGTATAAACAATAAATATGCATAGAACTGCCATGAATACAAAATGTAAAACATACCATTTCCGGGAACTCTCAAACACGCAACCAGCTGGTTGCCCTTATCAGTGCACATATTAGATAGATCACATTCCTCACTTTGAGTCCCCTCCTTCCTCATGGGGTTCACAGAGACTGCATTTACTCCATTACCCACCTCCTTAGGTACTTCCTTTGATTCCAACCCATCACTCGACTCATGTTTCTTGTCCTCGCCCTCTATTTTGGATCCCTCACTCGATCCTCCCCCACTCTTTGCCACATTATCAGATTCTTTCACACCCACTTCCTTACTTGGATTGCTCTTCTTATCCCCATCACCCTCCTTTGATCCAACCACCCGGTCTCCGTCCTTCACTTTTTGAACATCGGTAGTATTCAAAACCAAATTAGACCCAACAGTGTTATCATTGGAACCATTTGAATTAGTCGATGCTAACGAACTTTTCCGACCCAAATCAGTTTTCACACCGGATTCTACCTACATTCAAAACCTCTAACAAATAAATACACGCTTAAAAGCAATTAAAATCATTCCAAAAATAAAAAGTGAGTTTCATTTGGTCCAGTTTTTAACTCCAAAAATATAAAATCACTGGTCCAAATTGCAATTTCCGTTTTTAAAAAAGGGAGCCCGCTGAGCACCCATTGACTAATGCCATGATTAATACCACATGCTTTGGATGAAAACTAATCATTCTACACTCCCAGGAAGTTCCACAATCATTGCATCCATCCAAGAACTTGAGGAGTAATGATCCATCTAGAAACTTGAGTATACCAGCTCAGATCCAGTTTCATGCACAGATTTTTGGCTCCAACATTCATCAAATGGAGGCAAACATGCACACAGAAAATTACATGAGGAAAGATAAATCAGTTGATCTATGGGTCCATGAGAGAGGAAAAAACAGAGATCCATGAAGGAAAGACTGCTGCACTTTGTAATTTTGCAGTTGAAATCGATGTATAGATGTGAGGGAAGACTCAAAACACTTGCGTCCAGTAAGTCGCTGCTCATGATAAATGGCGACTGAAACTTTTTAGGTCTACGAGGAACAAAACATAGAACCAAAGTACATGATTTTAAACCATACACACATTACAGAATACCATCACTTGTTATGTGTAAAGCTCAAATGATCATCGCCAACCAAACTAAATTCTAGTTATCTTTTCCGCCAAAATAATCTAACTGGGATCTTAACTACATCCGAATCCAAACAGCAGCAGAAAACCAGTGATTAATTTTCATCCCATAATTGCAATTTATGGGATTTTATAAAAAAAATAAATAAAAAAAAAAAAAAAAAAAGCAAATTCAAATCAGTTTTCTCATTCCTTACCTTCGAATCAGCACCAGAGCAATGAACTACAATCTGCAACAATAAAATCCCAACCAACAGAACAAAATCCTTCTCCATGATCTGAGACAAACCCACTTCTTTACACTACAACCGGACCCTATTTTTCCATTAAAAACCAATAAATGAAATCATTAAGCTTTCTTCTATAGAAAGAAAAAAAAAACCCAGAAACGAAAACTTGTGTGAAGGGCATAGAAGAAAGGTTCATACTGCTTACCTACCAAGAAGAAGAAGAAGAAGAATATGGAGATTCTCTGTGATTGTCTTGCATAAGCTTGGTTGAATCAATGGCTGCACAAACTGTGCTGCTTAGCAAATGTTTGAGGTTGCATCGAAGAGGAAGATACTTTTCTGTGAGAAAAAAAGGGGGTTTAAAGTTTGAACCGTGAAAGCTGGATGTCAGGTGTCAACGAAGGTACGCGGAGAGGAGACCAGAAAATAGTGAGACTCAGAGACCGAGAGTGAAGAAGCAAATGGACCCGACTCCAAGGGCCGAGAACAACAGTGGCTTCTGTTGATATTGTGAAAGATAATCGGGTGTGGGCCGAACTGGGCTGTAACCTAGTCCAGATTATGGGTTATTTGCGAAAACTACTTGATAACCATTTTGTTTTTGTTTTTGTTTTTTTTTTTGTTTTTTTTTGAATTTTACTTCGAATAATGGTATACTAATTAAAAATTTTATATCATATCATGTGATATGTCATGTATTCTATGAGGAAACTTTAATATTCAATGAGATGAATAAAACCATTAATTGATATGGTAGTTGGAAAAACACTAATTGATGTGGTCTTAATAATCACTTATCACATCAATGCGGTATAATTTGATATGACTAGAATTATTCTTTTACTTATGTTAGTAATAAAAGAGACATACATGTAGAGAAGAGGAAATAAAGAAGAGCGGACGAAGGATGGTAAGAGAGCTGTTGAAGATTTAAGATTACTATGAAATTCTAAAATAATGAGATTTAATAAAGCTGCTAGTCTTAAGCTGGTGGCTAAGTTGTTCTGAATTCTAAATTTTTTTTATGTATGAACTTTTTAGGAATGTTCTTTACAAATCCAATAAAAACATAAAAAAAAATTGGTGCATATCAATTCAAAGTCCAAGTTGTAAATATTCTTTTTTGTAAAAAGGAATAGTAAGGTTCTCTTTAAGTCCAATCTTAGATTCTCAGAAACGAAAATGGAACTTGCAGCACTGTAAAGCAATATGCTTACCCTCATTTTTATTATATTTTTTTAATTTTACGTAGAGTAACGCTACTAACACGTCTCTTTCTCTTTACAAATTTATTATTAATTCATATACTAGACTTTGCATGCAAGTAAGATTCTCATAAATTAAAATGGAACTTGCAGCACTGTGGAGCAATATGCTTACCCTCATCATCATCATCATCATCATTATTATTTTGAAATTTACGTAGAGTGATGCTACTAACAATTCTCGTTTCTGTTTACAAATTTATTATTAATCCATATGCTAGACTTTGCATGCAAGTTACAACTCTCCCAAAATTGCATCAAATTTTTTATGATAGGAGACCATGCAAGCGCCGTAACGTGATGAACTGAAAGATATGATCCCCTAGCTTTCCAGCTCGCCTTCAACGTGAGGAACTTTTGTCTCACCATTTCTACTGGATTATGCTAGGTTTTGAGAGAGAGAGAAGTCACGGGCGGAGCTTGAGACTGCTCAGCCGCTAGAATCGGAACGAATCCTAAGAAAATTGGATGGATCTCAATTACTACCACGCGAAAATCGCCCTCTCATTACTTAATTTTTTTTCCATTTTTTTGGGTTTAGGGGAGTTCACAACATTTTTTTTCTCGTCCCCCGAGATCGAATTTATCAGGGCGATCTTGGATGGGCACCAAATGATGGTTGCTGCAAAAAAGGCGTCAGCGACCTCAAACTCATATGGAGTTGATGAAATATGAGCGTCCTGTTCATCTATTGTTCAACTTTTAATATGAAGGGTGGAACCCTGAACCCCAACCTTTTTTTTTTTTTTTTTGGTTACATTAAAATGGAATCGAATTTTTTACTTAGTATTTTATTGGATTTAACCCACTTGCCATCATCACTAACATCAAAGACTTAAACCTAAAGATTAGCTTTCATCATCTTAACTCTACTTTTTTATGTAGATCAAATGGCAGAATGAATTGAAGATCAACATGAAAAGTGCAAATTAGACAATAATAATGAAGCTTCCTAGATTTGGGCTCCAATGTTCGATTTGGACTCATGGCTCATTGTTTGAAAGAGAACAACTGCGTGCATCAAGCTCATAAAGTTTCCAAGATGTATGGGCTTTATAGCCCAAATTCATTTATTTATTTATTATGGTTTTAAGTTTTAGAGGTGTTTTTGGTACTTTGTTATTTGTTTAATTTTAATCCTATTTGTATAAGGCTAAGAGGCGTCGTAAATAAGATGTTTAGTTTGAAATTTTCTTGTTATTTAAGATCGTTGAATAATCTTTCTTTGTCACCATGTCAAGTCGTATCAAAGCAAGAATACGCCCTATTCTCAACGGCTAATGATGGAAGTTGTGATAGGAACCCTGGCAGCGATGTCCGTAGGGGTGAACGTGTTACCGGGCAGAATTGGATGCCCTTGTTGCTCAGGTTGCCCAACTTGCCCGAACGTTGACAACCTTGGCTGATTGTTACCTCAAAATCGTCATGGGGTTCGAATGACGATAAGCAGCCAGTCCGTGGCGCAAGGAGCACCCGAGCCTAGGCACGTTCAAGAGGATAGTGAAAGAGATTCGATCGAACGATGAACTTGCAGAGCTTGAACGAGTTCAACCAAACAACCAAGATAATCGTAACAACATTGATGAAGACTTTGACTTACAGAGAGGAGATTTTCTTGAATGCTTGTGCGAGATTAAGAGATTCTTTGAGAGAATTAGAAGTCCCACAAACGTGGGCCACGTCCCAACCCTAGCTTAAACACTGCTAAACCCTAGTTAGCTTTTGACTTGGTCTCGATGTGCTGGAGCTTTGACTTTGGTCTATAATATTAGGATGGTTGAAGGTTGAATCCAGCAGGCTTCCTGTTGATGCTCTCAAAGAAGATGACTTGGTCTTTCTTTATATATATAAATATCTTAGTCAACTTAATTACCCTAATTTGAGGGGTTTGATATGATTAGACCAGTAGATTTAATTAAACGCTAAAACAGAAGCCCTAAAAAGTCCACAGCTCCAGCCTCCAGATAGGTCTGATTGCAAGCACACTTAAATGTTCATCGTCATTCTTCCTTTTTCTGGGAGGTTGGGCGTGGGCTCTAGATATTATCAGAATAAAACAATGGAGTAATAGCATCTGTCAAACCGACCAGGTCCACCACATACAATCATAGAATTAAAATTACAAATAATAATGTAAATAATTTCATGGATTAGCAAATCAAACAATCCAAGCCAGCTCATTGCAAGAAATTTGGAAACCTGATTAGACATTGGTTCATTCTCACTATACCAGATATGGTCTAATTCAAAGATCTTTGACTCATTTGATTTTCTTTGATCTGGATGAAGTTAGCTAGCTAGCAATGATGGACTATAATGCTAACGACAGTCGCGTACACGCATAGGTGGATGATTGTTAGTTTTTAATGCGATTAAGCTGGTTTTATGTACATTGCATCAACAATTGAGTGCGTGGCACCTAATTATGCTGCTAACAACAATTGTTTACATGCGTATGAATGAGTATCAACCGACATGTGGATCAAACAAAATATCAATGGTTGAGTGCCTGAACACACAATTATGCTATATATTAATTAACTATAGTCGTTTACTAGCACATGATCGATTGTCGATCGTTATGGTAAGTGAATCATGCAAAACATCAACGGTTGAGCGTGAGCAACTGTTACTAACTCAACGGTTACTATTATAATTCAAGGAATCAAAGAAACTGAAAGAAGCCAACCAAAGTGTATGTTAACAGTGAAGCAGTGCAGAAATTGAAGAGTTATTTTTATTTGTACTCGCCAGAACATGTGATCATTTATCTCTGAAATATGTTGGTCTTTAAGATTTGGAGCAGTTTAGGGCCCACGCAGGCCATTGATGCCAAAGGTATTTGTAGCCTTTAAGATACCAGTATATTATTTTCTCCGCATATTTGCATATTATATGTATACAAGCTCTTGATCTAAAGAGATCCTCATTTTTTTCAAAAGATGGGGATTAGGTATGGGATTAACTCCACATCAAACTTTGATGATCCGAACCGTCTATTTTGTAAGTTTCGATTCATAGATCATCCTTGCAAAAATTCAATTCAATCCGAAACCATTTGCATGTTTATTTATCAAAATAAAATTTCATTGTTTTTTATATAACAAAGTATTTATTAATTTTTTTTAAACTCAATTAGATGTCTTAAATATTTTCGATTTGGCTAATATTTTGCAAGGATGATCTATGAGGTGTAACTTGAATAATAGACAGTTCGGATCGTTAAAGTTCGATGTGGTATGGACCCCACAACTAATCACTATTTAAAAAAAATGAGGATCCCTTCCCTTAAGGTTATTATATCTATATTTCTTCAGTCATATTCATACAGAAAATATTAGGTCCGCTGCTACATTTTAAACTTTACGCTGAAGATAATGTGTATCAAACTAAGAGTATGATTCTCTCATCTTTTTTTTTTTTTTCCCTTCTCTCTTCTCATATTTGAACGATCACGGTTACGTAACGCTAACATCTTATATTAATATTTTATAATAAAAAAAAGACAAAATAAGGAAATGAGAGAATCCTAGTCCAAAGCTTGAAACCAAAAAAAACATAATCATACAAAGCACAATCATGTATGCATTCGAAGGTACTGTTTGCCCATTACTAGTTTTAGCAGCCAGACTGGGGCCACTGGGACTGCTATCAGGAAAACGTGGCCCCACTTTGTACAAAGGCTTGTGACCAAGTCAATTGTCAGTGTCATCTTCTTCAAATCTCCACAGGCTCACGGCCCCAAGAGGCTCAAGCGCATGTGGGAGGCTCACTGGACAGGAGACTTTTATGTTTGAGGATTGAAGGGTCCACAAGTGTAGGGATTTAAATGAAATAAAAACCCGAAAATAATAGCGGTATCCGCAATTAGTCATGCGATGCTGCTTTGGAGTCTTCATTTTATGCGAGCCTCTTCTTTGAATTAGTAATTATCGTCACACTGTCACGTAGTTTGATCAATCTATTTTTGTAATGCATATGTATTTACTGAAATTCTAAAAGACGTTGGGTTCTAGTTGGATGGCTGACTGAAGTCTAGATAAATTTAAATAAACTTATTAAATAACATATAAATAAGTAATTATTTATACTTAAAAAAATATATTATTGTATAAATTAACAAAATAGAATGACATATAGATTAAAAAGCATAGGAACATATTGAAAATTGGGGAACCAACGTATAATGAGTGTTTATCAAAGTACTT